GAAGTGAACATGGGTGAACAAGGGAGAGGAAGAATCTAAGCCTGGTTGGAAGGGAGGTATAGAAGATCTGGGAGGAGTTAGGGATGATGGAAAATAATATAATAAAAATAAATTGTTGAAAAATTAATAAAGTTTCCTTTTAAAAGGAGTTGCACAAAACCAGGGCAGACATAATGTATGTTATAAAACATGTTATCTCAGCATGTGACTCTGCAAGGCTACTAGAGAGTAGTCTTTGCTTTTCAGTGCTCTTTCTGTTCAATAATCATTTAGCAAATTTAAAACACTTACGTTAGGGTCGTCCAGAGAAGCAGATTGTGTGAAGAATTGACTCCTCAAGTGATTATGGAAGCTGGCAAGGCCAAAGGCAGGTAATTCAGGTAAAGTTGGATTCCTTCCTCATTGAGAAACCTTGGCTTTTGATGTCAAGGCCCTCAACTAATTAAGGATTCAGAGTATGGAAGATAATTTTTTCTATTGTTTGTAGTCATCCAATTGCCAATGTTAATCACATCTACAAAATACTGCCATGGTGACATCTTCGCAAGCGTTTACCAAAATCAGCTCCACTCTTCCACCAAGTTAACACACAAAATGAAACAAAGAAAAAAATCAGCCAACACAAAGAAAATCTGATATAACAGTCTGAAATCATCCAGAGAGGAGAAAACACAGCCAGGTATAGCTATGTCACATGAGGAATATTTACAGGAATCAAAGAAGTTGTGTCTTACCTACTGTGTCTGACACGCTGCATCTCACCAATATGAAACTATTGCATTCATTATTATGAATACTATGTATTAAGAAAAATGACTGCCAATTGAACTAAAGTAAAGTGCATTCTTACGATGTGGTTTTTATTTGATATTTATTCAAAGAGCTGTCGAGGCTTATTTTTGGCAGTGCTTTTCATTATAGATTATGCTTTTACATATGTAAAAAGGGAAAAAATCAGTGAAGGAAATTAAGATATTCTTAAAACCTCTTCACATTCAAATCCAACTTCTCTGTATCACTTCTTAATTCACAGCTTGTGATGCTCAGTTTTTCCCACATAATATTGCCTCCGTATATCACAAGGGGGCTGATGCAGCACTTTCATAGGGAACTATATAATATCTGAAAGCCCGTGGGAGCCCTTAAGTGAGTTTTGCAATTATGTACAGTGAACCTACTTTTGTCTCTTGCCCAAGAATGTTACTAACTCACTGATTGGGCAGTCTTATTTCTGCAGGCCTAGAAAACTCATCTATGTTGTCTCCTGGGTGTGTTTATGGGCCACAAACTCCCAGTATGCAGCTTCTGAAGCTGGAGTTTGGGATATCTGTATATCTACTGGCCATGAGCACCACGTGGCAGTCAACACTCAATTGAAGCCCTTGGCAGAAATCTAGGCATATTCCAATTTTTGTTTCTGTTGAAAACACACAGTGAGATGCAGGAAGTGTACATTTCAAGTCCAAAATTTATTTGTTAAGAAATTACTAGGCCAAGCCGGGCGTTGGTGGCTCACGCCTTTAATCCCAGTACTCGGGAGGCAGAGACAGGCAGATCTACGTGAGTTTGAGGCCATCCTGGTCTACAGAGCAACTTACAGGAGAGCCTCCAAAACAATACAGAGAAACCCTGTCTCGAAAAACCAAAAGAAAAAGAAAGAAAGAAAGGAAGGAAGGAAGGAAGGAAGAAAGAAAGAAAGAAAGAAAGAAAGAAAGAAAGAAAGAAAGAAAGAAAGAGAAATTACCAGGCCTTGGCAATATGGTGGTCTCTAGCTCCAGAGCCCACACACTTTGCTCTATTTAATGGAATTACCAGTTGTACTGAGGGGCACTTCCATGTTCCCTGTCCCACAGAGAAGTAAGTATCATGGGAGTTTAGCAACTAGCCCTGCTTTATGGTGAGTCTGAGAAAAAGAAAGTTGTGTCCCAGCCAACTAAAGGTAATATTCTCACTCACAGCAAATTCCTGCACTTCTCAGAAGTGACGACGGAGACTAGCAAACATTTTGGTGTCTGTCATGGGGAGAGTCCTGATAACCCCGCAAAGTTTTTTATAGGAAAACTGTAGGTTCTTAAGAACAAGGGGCTTTTTAGAAAGACCTGTCTGAGGACAGAGAGCAGGCCTCCCAACACTGATATTCAGCTTGTGCCATAGAAGCGCCAGGCATCCAATGCCACTGCACACTTGCAGCTGTTAGTGGATGAAACACGTGTGGAGGAGCATCACTGACATAGCTCTGAGTCAGACCACACTGAAGTACAGGCAGAGAAGTCTGGAACAGCTACTGACAACTCCCTCTCCAGGCAGAGGGACCCTTTGATAAGGAAACTGGTACATGTGTGTACACACACATCTCACACTTAATAAGGCAGCACACCATGTCAATAGTAGAGAAAGAAAGTCAAGGTCTCAACTCACGAAAAGATTATTAAAGTTGGTTAAACACTGTGAAGCCCTTCCTGAACTCAAACATATTATTGGACAAATATTGCATCTTTCAATACATTTTGGGTCGCCTTTTAAAATGTTGCCAACTGCACAGAGTTCATCTCCCTGTTACCCACTGAGCAGCAGCAGGCCTCCTCTGTTCTGCCTGAAGGTGACAAGGCCCTCTCTTCCCAGCTGACCATTAAGGGGTACTCTGAGGGCCCTTGGGATGAATTCCTTAGGAGCCAGAGGTCTGTGGTGGTCCCCCATGCAGAAACAGGATCTGGGGGGTCCAGGACTCAGACTGGTAAGCATGGTCTTCAAGAACAGTTTTCAAAAATGACCAGGGGTGGCTTTGAAATTCTGGGTATTGGGCTGGGGAATTAGCTCAGTGGTTGAAGACTGTCAACCACATGAGATGCCCTGGGTTTGATCTCCAGTATGACATCAATAACAAAACTGAATTTCCCCCTTGACTGTTGATTGACTCAGTGCTGCATCAAGCCCGGGCATCTGTCTATACAGTATAATAACTAGCGAGATTGTCTCAGGGACCCAGGAGAGAGCCCAAGAGTCTACTGAGAATGCTCAAGCTCTTATTGACTATGCAGTGGTTTTTTGCATGCATACTGCAGCGATGAAGACATGTGGTGGGCTATGGTGACAGCTACAGCTCTACAGTTCTTCATCACTAAGAAGACAAGGTAGAAGCTTCCTTTTCTAATTGAAAGCTCTCCTGAAGACCTCGGCAATCTATAGGGCCCCTGGTAGTGGATCAGTGTTTATCCCTAGCGCACGAATAGACTTTGGGAGCCCATTCCACATAGAGGGATACACTCAACGCTTAGACACACAGGGGATGGCCTAGGCCCTGCTCCAAATGATAAGACAGACTTTGAAGATCCCCCATGGAAGGCCTTACCCTCCCTGGGGAGCAGAAAGGGGATGGGACAGGGGATTAGTGGGGGGCAGGGGAGGAGGGGAGGGAGAGTGAACTAGTTTCTAATTTAAATTTTAAAAAATAGAAAAAAAAAAGAGCTTCAAATTGTAAAAAAAAAAGGAAGCTCTCTTGAGACCCTGTGCATATAAAGGGCTCTTCGATAGCTCTGAACCAGGCTAGCTGCGCTGTGCATATGACTTCTCCTTCCTGTCGTCACAGCCTTAGTTAGCAGCCCATGTCTGCCCAAGGCCTGGCTCTGCCCCCATTGTCTTCAGCGCTGCGGTCTTGTGCATCTGGGCTGAGACACTAATAGTGGGCCTGTGGTCTTATGGTACCTGGAGCTCTGATGACCTTAACACTCTCAGCCATCACTGGCACCATATACCGTTCCAGCTAACTATCTCTAGCTGAGAGAAGGGATTCCTGAGTCAGTGGGATCATGGACATGACACTTTTCATAGAGAAAAAAGAAAATCAGAATTCCTTCTTTGCTCTCTCATGCGACCTGGTATGAAAAGGGTTCTCACACAAACACACCAAACTGTGTTGTATTTGATGTTGCTGTGGTGTCCAATAATTCATTATCTACCTAGACTTAGTGTCCATCACATGCATGAGGGTCCAGTCCTAAGATTGCCTCCCCAAGAACACATGTCTGTGACAAGCGTTACACCGTTGCTTGCTCTTGTGGTCACTTTCCAAAGATGTTTCCACACCCTTGGGGTGCTGCTTTGCTGGGTTTGCTTCTGGGACCCGTAACACTTTGTGTGTGTTTACCACTTGGCTCTACAGGCAGCAAGTAAAGTGTCCTTAGGGCATGGCAGGGGAGAAAGTGGGACCACTTCTCTGCTCCCCTTCTGCTCAACCCAGGATCCCCCTCAAATCTCACTGTAGAAGAGGCTTTCTGGAATTCATCCTAAGACGTCTGCTCTTCCCAGAGGTCAGGGAATGAAGCAATGGAATTGATGTTCCAAGGACCATTCTCCACATTCCTAGCTCCTGTTGCAGGGAACCTTTGGGGACATCTCTCAGAGGTTCCCAGAACCGGCTTGGAGAAGCATCATTTTACTACCGATACCATCTCAGTTACTCAGCTATTATCCATTAAACAAATGGTACCAAGGCCCTGCTTTGGTGCAAGCATGAGACAAAAAGCCTGCCTAACTTTTGGACCTCGTGCTGAGGAGTGAGGATACCAACCACTGTTGGCAGAGCAGCAAGCAGAAGACAGTTTGTCGCTTAGTCAGCTAACGGCAGAGAGGAGAAATGCCAGCACATACACCTCCCAGAGAGGACATCATCGGCCCGGGTGCCAGACAGATTAGTTCAGCTTCTCTGCCTGGGCGGCTGATGGGCAGCAGGGCTGTGAGCTGTTTCTGGCGATTTGCATTTGATCTAAGTTACTGATCCAGAAAACGGACTCTGGTCACTAACCTGTCCCCTGCTGCTTCTTAAACAGACACAGGGTATATTTCTGCTGGGTGTGGAGGTTCACTACCCTCAAATGGCAAGGAATAAAATCCAAACAGGTGCCCAAAGCAGTAAGGATAACTCCATAGATGTCCCCATGTCCAGGAATAGGGAAGAATAGGTCCTGTGCCTCTCCCCCTGGGCCCCACCTTCTCTCTTGCTGCAAAGGTCTTTATTTTCCATGTCTATCCTTCCAGAAGAGGTAAAAGGATCCCTTGTGACTAAGGAAGGAGCCAGAGGGGAACATGCAGCTGAAACAGGGAAGAACTAAGAGACGAAACGCAGCCATCAACATCTGATCACGCAGAGAGGCGGGAAAAGGAGACCAAGCAAATGTCATCAGGCTGACGCTTCTGTCTCTAGTGACCTTTGAAGAAGCGGTTTCTGCTGTGTGATGGTGCAGGATCCAGATGGTATGAAGCTGGAGGCTGAGTGGGCAGAGAGGAACAGAAGAATCCCAGCAACCCGCGCTCAGATAAGCCAGACAGTGAAGAAAACATCAGGAGCGGGGTAAGAAAAGAGGACACCAGAAGTCTCACAGAGGGTGGTGGGTGCTGTGTTGGGGTAGCAATGGAGAGGAGAGAGGCGTGGGAGATGCTGGGAAGGGCCTACCCACGGAGAGTCAAATGAGGCATCGAGCCTCATCCTCACCCATGCCACCCACACCATGGGCAGTGTACACACTTGGAAATAAAAATCGAAGGAAAAGGGCAGATGGGCCAAAGACAAGGTAGTAAAATATAGGTAAAATGAAAGTAGAAAAGTGGGTACCAGGGCAGAAAGCTTCAAGCGCAAACAGGGAGTAAGAGGAAAGGGGAAGGGGGACAGAGAAAGGCATAACAGAAGCGAAGGGTGTGTGGAAAAGATGTGAAAACCTGTGACCTTGCAACCCAAGTAAAAAATACTACTGTAGGTGAATAATGGAGCACATATGACATAAAAGAATAAAGGCGGAATGCTGGAGGTAAAAAGTATAAGCAGGAATGGAGCTGGAGGGCGGGAGAGTGGGAGGGACAATGGGACTAACCAAAACTAAGGGTGTGTGAAGAAGCCTTATAGAAGCCCACCAACTTGAAAGCCAATTTAAAGATATAATTTAAAAAGAGAGTTTGGACTGAGACATTTTGCATGGAGATACAATGCTGCTCCCAAAAGACATGAGCTGTCAAATGAAAATCTCAGTGCCAGACTTGGGATTCCTCCCTATGAGTTATAGGGCAGGGAGACCCTGCAAGCACCCAAAACAATACAGGATATTGCCACTGCTTTTGGTTGCCCACCATAACTACATGGCAGGACCTTAAGGCTGAAGACATAACACATTTTGGCAGAACGCAGAGAAATTACTTTTGAACTGAACAGGAAACTACCTGATGGCTAGCTCTCATAGTATCAGAAGGTGATATACAGGCCCCTATAGGCAGGGGCCAGGAGGATGACATCAGTGGTCTTACTCAGAGCTGGCTTCTGCAACCTACAATACCAATCTGCCAGTCAAGATGTACCCACTGGTACAATCACAGCACAGCTGTGTTCTGATTGGATTTGAGGCCTGCTTCCCAGGAAGGATTTCATGCCTAGTACTATAAGCCTGTTCAAAAGCCCGTGTTTGGGGAGTCCATAGGTCATAGGGAATAATGCTAGTGTCGCCTTGCTAAATGTTCATGTTGTCAAACTGCCTTCTAGATACTAGTTTTATACCCATGGATATGTGCTGCTCTTAACCTTGGTCATGGAGGCTTCTTTTTGCAGCAGGCCATAGTTAATGCAGGGATCTGTAACTTTAAAAGTGCTGAGTATAAACGATTCTGGGTACTCAGCCAGATAAGCCATGTCTACCAATCTCCACATATCAAAGGCTGAAGGAACATTGCAGAAGTGGAGGCAGGAAATATATAAGAGCAGGGGGGTGGGAAAGAGATCTCCGAGATGCTGTGTTCTAGACATGACGAGACCATAGCACACATGAATTCAGCGGCTGTGGTTACCTGCCCAGGACCTCCAGGAGATCAACCAGCAGGGATGGGGGAGGGGCTCCCAAGTCTCCATCCTTAGCTTAGGAGCTATTGTCCATTGATGGCTAGCTGCCGAGGATGACTCTGGAGGGACAGGTGATGATGCAGCCATAGGTAAGTTACCCATGCCCCAGTGAACAGCCTCACAACCATGTGCATATGAGCAGCATTAATTGAATGCAGCAGGTCATTAATTATTTAAAGAGGAAGAAAGCATAAAGTGGTGAGGGAGATGTATGTAGGTGTTACAGAGGGAGCTGATGGGAGATTGCGGGGACGGACATGATCAAAATACTTTGTGTACATATGTAAAAAAATTCAAAGAATAACTCTTTAAATATTACTAAGAAGTAGAAAGAAAGAAAAAAGTTAAGGGACAAAGCATTTGCAACAGAAAAGGAAGGAAATAAGGGGTCTTGCTGAGGAATCCCTGCTTCTTCTTAGTCAAGGAGGCGCAAACACATTACCTGCTCAGCGTGCAGCAGATGGAGGGAGTGCTGGAGGGCTAAGCAGCACAGAGAGGGTGCATGCGGAGCTGCCACCATGCACAATATGCTACACAGCAGGCCAGGACAGCTAGCAGTCAGTCCTGAGGACAGAACACCAGGTTAGCCCAGCAGGTCTGAGCTCCCTGCCTGTGGCTTCTCAGGGTAGCTCAAGCCCATCAGGGTAGTACTGGGAGTAAGGCCAGTGAGGGCCTCTAAGTCTAATGCATTATGCTTCGGCACCTTCTCCTCCTGGCCATCAGCTGGGGGTGTGGGGAGGGTCTGTCTCTGTCTCCTCCTAGGTCCTGGGCCAGGACTTGCTGCACTCGGCTAGAGATGAGGCCAGAGATTTGTGTGATGCACCTGGACTGGCTATCCATTTGTGCCCAGAGGTCATGTCATTTATCATCTAAGCTAGCCCTTCTCTCAAGCAGCACACATAGCCTCAGTTTTTATAAACACCTGCCATGATGAAAAAGTACAGTAAGAGCTCCACTGCCGTTATTACTAGGCATCCCAACCTTGCTTTTATTGGCGAAAGAAAAGGAAGAACTATTTGAGGCTTTAAATATAATTTCAACTGTTGTAAAATTCTGAATGGCTGTAAAAATGGTTTTAAAACTTTTAACACCTACTCATGTGAACAAGTTCCTTGTCACGGGTGTCTACCTGGAATCTGAACAAATGATCACGGTGTCTGAGGTGTGAATTGCAGTGTAGCTCCTCTGAACATAGACACTGGGGAGAGCCAGTTCAACTTTCCCACTTAACAGGGTTCATGGATTTCTACAAGCTTTATACATTAATGTATACTATCCTTTATTATTTGTCTACCATTATTTCATCTTTATTAAAACTGTGTATTTTGTAACTTCTCAATCACATTAGGCAATGGAAGAAATGCTATGAGCAATTTTGCCAAGCCACATATAGATGCCCAAGCCCACTCCTAGCAGTCATTCAAACATTTTCATCATGACATGAAAAGGGCACATGCGCAAGAAGCCCCCGGGGAAGACATCCGAGAAACGTGAGTGGAGGAATCTACAGACTGCAAGGTACAGTTTAGCAGTCCTTCAGCTTGGGAAAGCACGATGTACCCCAAAAGAGGCTTGCCAGGCCCAGACCCTAAGTGTAGACACAGCCCAGCTGGGCAGCCTGGAGTTGCCATCCCGTGCCTGGGCCTGGGCTGAAGTTCAACTCCAATCCACTGAACATCTGTGTGGCTGAGTGCATTTACCTGTCCCTCTTGCCCTATGGATATCCCTCCCAAACACACACACACACACACACACACACACACACACACACATACACACACACACACACACACACACACACACAGAAACAGCCATTGCTGTGTTTCACAGGTCTGACAATTTCTTGAAGAAATGTTCCTTTTCATTCAAGTTTTCACCTGCAGTATTTCTGGGCCTCTTTTCCAAGAGTGGCCACATGTGTGGACCTTTGAGTCATTTACTCACAGACACTGAGCCTAAACTCAGAAGCCATGGAGTAGCAACTACATAATGGGAAGCACTCCAGACAGGAAGCCCTTCTTGGTGCAAGAGGTCTGAATGATGTTAAGGATGGCAACACTCAGAATGCCAGAGTAACCCCAAAGAGCCCCCAACTCAGCTCAGGTTAGAACTGAATGTACTAATGCTCTATTGGAGTTTCCACCTCCTGTTGCTAACCTCCAGCTGTTATTATCATCCCTGTTCCCCTGCTAATTTCTTTATAGTCATTTTCCACTCAAATTATTATGTGTCTACGATCAAAGTTCCTCACTGTACAACTCCAGAAGGCTCCAACTACATGGTGGCCAATGTTCTAGGCCATGTGGTGACAGAGTCCATGGATACTGCATTGGGGCAGGAAGCCTGGAGACGAAGGACAGCCTGTATTCTTAAAGTCAGGGCATGAGATGGGGGTGGGACAGCAAGCTACACCTGTGAATAGTGAAGCAAGTTCTGAGCCGGTGCCTCCCCTCACCCTCTCATTACCTCGTGTATTTAGCAACATCACAGGCAACTGTGAATGTCTGTGGTCTGGACATGCCCTTGCTATAAACACCAAGCATCTTCTGCGAGGCCCAGAAAGCAGGTGTGTAATGACTCAGAGCTTTTCCAACCACAGCATCAGGAAAAAGCAGCCCGATGTTGCTCTCTCTTCTGTTGCAGAACTAGGTCAGCCCATCAGAGGCAGCCAGTCACATGCCACCCATCAGCAAAAATCTGGATCCCCACGTCCCTCACTCAAGTTCACACAGAGTCTATGGAAGGTGACTAGAGTCCAGGACAGGAAATCCTGCTACCCCACCAACTTCAGTGTCTATTTAAACAGGTCCTACTCCCTTAGAAGAGAGAGGCACCTGTCATCTTTTGAGAAACTGCCTCTCAGCTTGCCTTCAACCCACATCCTCTCCCTTCTTATCGCCCCCCCCAGAAACACAATACACAGCTTAAGTGAAAGCAATTAATCTACACTTTTACCCAACCCAATTTGTGTTTTACTCTACGAAGTCCCAGTTAATTATTTAATGGCTTGACAGTGCCAGCTCCCTGTACAGGCTAAGGCTGCAGTGCGTAACAGAAATGTCCTCCTCTTAACGACTCCTCAAAGGCAAGAAGGCTCCAGCCTGCCCTGCCCTTACCTTGGATGCCCCAGTGCTAAGTGCACATTTGGAAAGACCTGCCCTTCCTGCAGTCAGCTTCTTGCCCCTGCAACAGCTGAAAAGGAGTACTGTCTCTGCTAAAACAGATTTGTTTCTCCCATCACATGGATAAGGAGAGGAGCTAGATTTGTTTCTCCCATAATGTGGATAAGGGGAGGAGCCTTCTTCCTTTGAATTCCGAAGGTGAGAGGTAGAAGACTCATTCCATTCACATCCTGCCACAAACGGAATGCTTTCATCGGAGCGAGAACAAAGATGGCATCAACTCAGTCTCCATTAGGCAGCACACACAAGCCAGGGAAGGAAATTTTCCATGATTAGACAGAATTCTCCAGTAATCGACAGGCATCATGCATGCCTTAGGGACAAGAGGCAGTTTGAGTTGACTCTGCATATTCAAAATCTTGCAGACCAGTTGACAAGGCACACATGAGCAAACACACCTAGCATGATGTCACTGCTCATTAACAAGGAGTCACATATAAAGCACTGAACATCCTATTAAAACAGCAAGTCCTGGGGGACCTAAGGACAATGAGACCACGGTGTGGTGTGCAAGGCACACTTGTAGGTCCAAGAAGAGGCATGTTACATATCCAAGCATGGCTGTGATATGCCAAGTGGGCAACAGCCACCACCTCCTGCCTAGAAGTGGCTTCATAGGCACCATAAATGTGGACCTTCAGGGCTAGTGACAATTTTGATGTGCTACACTAAAAATTCTGTAAAGATGGTTAAGATTTAGCATGACTGACTGCCTAAATGCTTCTCTTTATGGGTCTATAAAAGGGTATCGTCAAAGTAGAGCCTTGGCATGATTAATCTGGCTGCAGCCTTCAAGGAATCTAGGTAGGGTTTATTGCTAGGGCTGGGTGGTACAGCCAGGTGCCTGAGTCCCAGGCAGGGAGCCAGAAAGGAGGTGAGAATGAGGTCCCTGTCACACACAGATAACAAAAATACCTGGGGTAAGAGAGAGGGGCAGAGCAGCTGGAAGGAGGTGACTCTGAACATGGTCACTAGAGGCAGAGGTCACTCCGGTTCTCAGGAGAGAAGCAGTTCTCCAGAATCTGTCTCTTAGCTTGAAAACAAGGGTCACATTGTCCCTTAGTGTGAAACCTACTGACATTTTATGGATGGGATGAGCTCTATGGAGAGCCACATCTGCTGCAACATGCATCTGAATGAGTGTCTGGGGACAAGGGTGGGGCAGGGCAGGTGGGTGTGTCATCTGCTTGGTAGAATGGCTCCTTTTCTGCCATCAGATGGAAATAAATGAGTGTGGTTGTCTTCTCTAGCTTTCCACACCCTGCCCACATGGAGTAGGAGCTAGAGTCCATGCCCAGTGTTTATCCACCTCTGGACCCAGCAGATATGTTTCTTTTTCATCCTCCCCTACAGATCCTCTTCAAAGCAGCAGACTCCACTACATCCCCTCCATACTCGGAGAAGAAAACCAGCATTGATCCAGAGGAGCGAGCCAGCCCTGGTGATGACTCAAAGGAAAGAAAGACCATCGCTACAATGATCCATCCAGAAAGTAACATCCCTCTGCTAGCTCTTGATCCCGATGCTGAGCCGTATAATAGTTTGGTTGGAGTGCTAAGACAGAGCATATGAACAACCTCCCCTTCCCCTACAATTTTCAAGAACCATTTGAGGTTTTGAGGTGTCCTCCTCTTCTTTACGTCTCCCAATAGAAGGCCCCATCAATGAGCAGGTTTCATGATGTTGTTGTTTATACTGGAGTTTGATTTCAACATTTCTCCCTCTCTTCTTCCAAACACTACTGTATATCCCTAAACACTCCCTGAGCAGACTTATGAAGTCACAGCTCACTAATGGAGCTTTAGGACCACAGGGAAGAGCAGTAAAGCCGCAGAGAAAAGCAGAGGAGGTCAGATCCAGGTGAGCCAGGCCTTCTTGTCTTGGGGTGAAGAGAGAAGATGAGTGATCATCACTGATGGGTGGAACTGTACACCAACACTGAGCCCACAGCCCAGACTGGTGGAATGAGTGTGATGCATTTGCTCATTCCAGAGCCTCAGTCCCCATCCATCCTCTCAACCTAGGACTCGCCCAACCACCACAGCAAGGTTTTGATTTACCTCTCACAATCACGGGTTATACAGAAAGTATAAGATAGAAATGTCACTCGGATGTCCCTGGATTTTCTGAAACTAGCCTTTACCTTGCCCACTATGGAGACTGCAGTGTTCAGGGACAATCTCAGACCAAACACCATGCACTCATAAGCGGGGCATCCACCAGGGGAAAGACATTGAAAGGGCCTACACATTCTTCCTTTCACTGGTGAGTAAACAAACTCTCCCAGAGGCTAGAAGAGCTCTCAGGATGTGAAGGACCAGTCCTGTTCTGCTGCAGGCCAATATGATATTGAGATCTACACAGGAAGAGCACAGCTCAGATACATTGGAGTGAATGTCCCAGGCAAAGGTCTTTAAAAGATTTGGCTCTGTCTCAGAGAATGACAGGGCTGTCAAATTTTGTACACTTTCAGTTGGTCCCTTGTAGGTCAAGGGAGGTGAGCCTTCCTCATTATAAGCCTGCCTCCAGAAGTACCTTGGCCAAGGAAGGATAAGGATCCCTTGCCTGTTTTTTGTTTGTTTGTTTGAATGTTTGAAATCTTCTGTGGCCCCAAATGGTATTTGACACTGGTTTTACTATCCAGAATGTATATTAAATACAAGAAAGAGAGGTATGGCCTCCTTCTCTGAACAGAGACCCTCATACCTAGACCCTCAGCCAATCTCATTCTCTGAGTTGACCTGGATTTATACCCATGTCCCTTACCAGTAGAACTTTCTAACTCAAATCCATCTTGTGATACCTATGTCTAGAGCTGAAACAGGCAATGGGCCAGCACCACTCTGGACAGTGACCACCTTACCTCTATCTTGTGACCAAAAAAGGCCTGTCTCGGGAAGACCCGAAGCGAAGGCCGGAAAGATTTGCTCTCAGCAGAAGCTGTTCTCCCAGAGAGGTGGGCATGCTTCATAGTCATGATGCCTCTGCAACTTTAAAACATAATTATTTTTGTGCCATGTGCTCCTGTAGTTGTGGGGATCAAACAGCTTTACTCTGGGAGAAAAGAACAAGGGATACAAATTGTCAAGGTGAATGCAGCCAATAAGACAATAAGACTCTACTGAGCCACCCAGCTTCCAGCTGAACTGAGTCACAGAAGCAAAGACATTCACAAATGGTAGTGGATCCTAGCCTCATGAGATCTACTGGGGTATTGTGATCGCTGTCCCACTCATGTACCAGATGGAAGTGACACACAGCTGGCCAGTCTGGAAAAAGAGAAGATAGGGACATCTGTTCCTACCACCTGTATCTTCACATGACACAATGGCCTATATGGACATTATACTCCTGTCTTGAGGTTTCTATTGCTGCGAAGACACACATGACCACAGCAATTCTTGTAAATCAAAACATTTAATGGGTTGGCTTACAGTTTCAGAGGTTTAGTCTATTTTCATCATAGTGGGACATGGCATTATATAGGTAGGCATAGTAATAGAGAAGGAGCTGAGAACTCTACATATTGACCCAAAAGCAACAGGAAGTGAACTGACATATTAGCATGGCTCAAAGCCACCCCCTCAGTGACACACATCCTCCAACAAGGCCACACCTACTCCAACCAAGTCACACCTAATACTGACAGTCCTGTGAGCTTATGGGAGTGAATTACATTCAAAAATTTCCCATGCATGAAAGCCAGTCTTGGAGACAATACCTAAAAATAGCCAAGGAACCCAGTCCCAGAGGTGGGAAAGAGCAGATTTAAACCTTGCAATTACTGAACAGAAAGGAATTTTGAAGGGCTCAGAATGCTCCAGAAGGAAGTTTTCTTACCCAAAGATGACAAGCCAATTGATCTAACACCTGCCAATCCATGACAGATATTTGGCTGGAGATGGCAATATTGAATGATAACATTAATGATAACCGTGACTGTAAGTATGCTACAATTCGTATTTGATAAACACTTGCTATGTGCATAGTACTCAAAGCAGTGTAGGGGGAAAGCATAACACTGCTAACCTATATCCCATAACACATCCAAACAGACCTCCAAAGCCCCACCCAGTCTCCTGTTTTCATTGGCTCTTCCCTGAATTACATCATCCTTCAGGCCCCTCCCCATGAACTAGACAGCACACGAGAAGCTATGAGGAACCAGATATAGTTTCTCTCTTTCGGGGAACACTGCCTGGGTGTAAAAAGAGTGAGTATCCAGAGCAGACTCTTTGAGCTGGACCTTCTGGAAGTGGAAAGAGAATGGAAAACTTTCTCGATAAAGAAAACAGTATTATAATCACACAACAGGAGTATAAGCACCATGACAAGCAATAAGCAATAAAGGGAAAAATGATAAATGCCAACTGAGCATTTCTGACGGCAAATATCAGACAAGAAGAGGTGCCTGTTTGAACTAAGGTTACTGGGAAGGTGCACAGAGAGAACACAATTGTTTTTACCAGACCCTTGAGAACCGGGCAGGCTTCACCTGAGCATCCTTGTCACAAAGAGCATCCTTCATCCCTGGTAGTGAGCAGCTTTGAGATGGTTGGTCCACAGAAAAGCAGGAACGAGAAGATGGAGAGTTCATGGGAATTTGGGAGGGACTAGGTCAACCACACAGGGAAATGTGGGCTGTGCCTCAAGCTTAGAGGACACACCCATCACTTCAAGTGCTCAGAAAGCCACCCTCACTCCATACCCTCCAACATCATACCATGTGGGGACAATTGATTCAGAGTATTTTTTCTATCAAAAACAAAACCAGGTCTCCTGAAAACAGCTTATCTTAAAATTGCCATTTTCCACTTGCTCTCTGTGGGTGGCGAGGGCTCCCTTTCTATCCCGCATTGCTCTAGGAAATTTGCTCACACAGTACGTGGAACCCAGATAAGCATTTCGTGTTCTCCGAGTTTCCACACACCACTGGCGGACTCACAAGTAGAGCTGGCCACTCATGCTTGGGGATGTACAAGAAGGAGAAGGCAGCCCACCAAAGTCCAGACTTGACCTCTCAGGAGGGGGTGAAATAGGAAGTGAACCCCACCAACTACTCCTAATGCCATCATATATTTCTGTGTGCGCTGTTTCTGCTTTTACAGCTTCTGTGCCATTGTTGACCCCAATAGAGTGTGAACAGGGTGTTTCCTGCTCTTTGTTATCTGAACAGCACTATTCTCTCTCTCTCTCTCTCTCTCTCTCTCTCTCTCTCTCTCTCTCTCTCTCTCTCTCTCTCTCTCGCTCTCTGTTTCCACTCCTTCCTCCTCTTCCTCCTCCTTCTTTCCCTGGCTTGATGGCTGTATTCTCTATGCCTGTCATTGCTCCTTGTGCCTATTAAATATTCAATAAACATTTCTTGGAAGGGTAGATATCATTACTATTTCTTAAACATTAGTTTTCATGGTCATACAATACCTTATTTTAAGTATGTACCATAATTGAGCATATTCAATAATTCCAGTGTTCACAATCATTTATTATCTAATTCATTTATTGTTTGTCTTTCCCCCACTAAACTGGGAAATATAAATTGGTTTCTTATAATACATAAAGAACAAAGACCATTGTGATTTCCACTTACCAATGTGTCCCCAACAATTAGTACATTATTTATAATGAACAGCTTTAACAGGCCTTAATAGTTATTAAATTTTAAAAATAAAAGAATTAATGGCCTTGGGAATTGTTTCCAATGTATTGTCACTGTCAATAAGGGGATGGAAAAAATAGCTCAGTTATTGAGTACTTAGCAATACAGGTTCGGTTCTGAGCACCCACATCAGGTAGCGCACAACCGCCTTTAACTCCAGTTCCAGGAGATCTGATGTTGCCTGGCTTCTATGGACATCTGAACACATGTGCACACACACATGCACTAAGAAAAAAATAAGTCTTTCAAGTCACCACGGACATTTTTGTGTGATTCTCAAACCCAGATAACTTACATTGAACATATGGAGTGGCTTCTGCTGCATATGTGCACAGTACCACTTTATCCTTCAGCCATTGATCATCATATGAGAAGGCTATCTGTCATGTCCTCTACACACTGTAGCACATTTAAAATGTACCTTCTAAGTGTTTGCCAAACAGGCAAATGAAAATGGAATTTTTGTTGTTGCTAGTTTGCATATATTTTCTATCAAGGAAGAATCAACAATTTTAATTTGTTTGCCATTGACCCAGTTGTCTGTTTGTGGCCTTTGCATTCATGTTTTGTCTTTGACAGCTATAACATTTGTCTTTTCATTATAGACTCATTTTGATACATGAAGATCTTTTTAAAATAGTCAAATCTGTTGTTATTCATTCCATTACTTTTCTACCTGGAATATTTTTTTTCATTTACAAGTGAGCACACGGTTAAATTTGCCTCTAATCTTAAAACGGCTTCATTGGTATATATTCCTCTTGCTATATTGCAAAAAGTGAGGTTTGAAACTTTACTTTTTCCCAATCCTGATTGTATCTGCACAGTGTCCCACTCTTCCTGGCCATAAAAGTGTCCTTCTCAGGACTACCCCATATGATAAGTTCCTCTGATCTTTCTTCTTGCACACCAATGGCTTGTGATACATTCTAATGCGAGAGAAAATGGGCCTTCCTATATTCAAAGTCTTTGTCATAACTCTAGGCTATTTTCAACTGTTGACTTTCAGATAAACTTTAAAATTATCTCCAAGTCTTCCCCTCACCCTGAAAGTCAGACTTTGGGGAAAACAAATGTATATGTTAATAATATAAGGAGAATAAATTTAAACGTACAAGTTAATATGAGGAGAATCAATTTCTTCATCAACTCCGTTTTCTTACTGGCCTTTCCTTCGGCTCTTCCTGAGGATACTGAGTGTCACTGGGTGGGCACTGTGGGAGTCAGAAGTCCTCTGCCCCCATGCAGACATCTCCCACTGTAGGCTAAGTAATGCCCAGGCTGGCTTGGGCTCACAAACTGTGGTATCTCTGAAGGAGGTACTCCTGTGAGATTCATACAGCAACTATTCAGCTAATTTATATCCCAAATGGATATTTTGATCTGAAATCATTGGCAAATTTAGACAAAATTAGGATGAGATATAGGATTTAGGAGATAGCAATAGCAGGACACAGTTACAGACAGAGAGAGGAAGGAGGGAGGGAGGGAGGAAGGGAGGGAGGGAGGGACGGAGGGAGGGAGGGACGGAGGGAGGGGGAGGAGTCTTCCCAGCCTGCCTGCCAGGCAGAGCCATCTCTTCCCCTTGCAGGACTTCAGTTTCTGCATCTGGGGATTAAGTAGGGTAGACCAGACCATTCTGATAGTCCTTTCCTCACTGAGTTCTACCAGCCACTCACACATTGCCCATGCCAGTCTGCTCACTGAGTAGCCAGTTTTGGAAGCTCTCGTTTACTGGCCCTTATCCAATTACACAAAATGCAATTTTACTTTGCATCACAACTGTGGCTTCAAGGACAAGCCAATGTTCCAGATGACTAAAACAGGACAGAGGAACGGGGAACACTGAGGACCCTGCCGCCGGACTTTGAAATTAAAATGGCATATTAGTGACCCTGGCCTAGACTCTGTAAAGAGTGTCGCTGTCTGTCTCTGAGGGCAGTCCTCTTACTCTGTGAAGTCTACAGTC